GGGCCCGAGTGGACCTGGAGCCGGCGGGCAGCCCCGGGGGCAGACAGGCGACCGAGCCACAGGCCGAAGTGCTAACTGTGCATCTTGGCATCTCCCCTCGGCCACAGGGTTGGAAGCCCAGCGAGGCTAGAGGCCAGTCCCAAAGTCTCCAGGCATCAGGGCTGCAGCCCAAGAGCCTCAAGGCGGCCGGGCGGGCGACTGGACGGCCGGACAGGTGAGCTCTTGACCGTCCGCAGCCTGGTAGTTTGCACTTGGCGCTCCCACCTTGGGGCTCCGTGGAAGCCACGTCAGAGGGGCTGTGTTTGTGTCTGAACATGCGTGTGAGTGGAGGGAAGTGGTGAGTAATCCCGCGTCTCCCCTCTAGGTTCGATACCCATGGAGGAAATAAGCAGAGGTGCCAGACAGGCCCCTGATAGGCACCTGCAGGATTGGGGCAGAGTGGCCGCAGCGCAGGAGCGCCGGCAAGCCTAGCCTTTCCCGGAAGGCCCCCTCTGTCCGGTTCCACCCTGGCCTGTTGCTTCACATGCAACAAGTGTCTGAATGTGGCTCTCTCCTGGCCGAGGGGAGCCCTGGGCAGTGAGTGGGTTGACACCCCAGCCTGCAGGGTGCCTGTGGGTCTCCACCCAGATGGGCAGGATTGGAGGTGGCCACAGCGCTCGTGGGCTTTCCCCTAGCAGGTGTCTCCGTGCTGGCCAGGCTCAGGGCTTCATCCCACTCAGTGGGCCTGATCTCCCTGGGGCACCCGGGATGTCCATCTGCATTAGCTGGAGCTACTCCATGGCCCGTGGCGTGCCACACACAGCGGCATTTCAGTGTCATTAGGCACAGCTGGAGGTGCAAGGAGGAGGGCAGCCTCATGTCCAGTCCCAGTTCTATGTAACTTGCTTCTTCTGAATAAAGGCAATTTGCTAACTTCCTCGCTAAATAGGATTTGGTTTCTATGGCTTTCAAAGCTTATCCAATAAAATACTTGCAATAAGGGAAGTCTCTCCTCCTACACTCTCCTGATTGATGGTTCGGAAATCCTCCTGCCCTCTGAGAGCTGGCAGTTTCTTGTGAAAAAGAGAAACTAAGAAGCAGTAGAACAGACCTGGTGGCTGCTTGCGTGGTTAAGATGGTAAATGCTAAATGTGTGAAACTGCCTTTATAAACCGTTTTCTCCAGCCTGGCTTGCTGGCTGCCCATCTGGTTTGCTGTGTTGTGTCTCCAGTGGCTTTAGCTTCCAACAGGAAATCTGTGACCCAGGAAGTAGCAATTAAACACCTGGGATGCTGCCTCGAGGCTGGTGTGTGCTCTGAGGTAAGTTCCGATTTGCCAAAGCACATCTGTCGCCCGAGTCTTCACGCCCTGACTGCCTCCGTCATTTTAAACACCGGGAGCAGTTGCCTGCGGCGAGGTTCAGATGCCAGCCAGGGGCACAGCCTGTGAACTCTGGGTAGATGGCAAAGTCTAGCATTTCTAGCAAAGGAAAAACATTTGGTGACTCTCTGGGTAAATTTCTGACTGAGATGAAGACACCCATTGTGAGGCACCATCCTGAAGTGGAAGCCTGGGCTATATGTTTACAAGAGGAGGAGCAGGAGCGGCCACAACCATGTACGCCAGGGGCTGCATGGCCGCAGCTCTGGTCTGCTCCCTGGAGCCCCTCCACCAGTGCTGGGCTGTGGCTGTGGCTGTCTCTGGTTTGTCTTTCTGGGAAACCTTGGCCAGGTTGGCATGAGGGCAGGGCCAGCCTTGGACATTTGCACTTTCCATAGCAGCCTCTGGCCCAGAGCTCACCCGCTGTGGGCAGGTGATCAGGGTGATCAGGGCTCGTTGGTCCCCTCCTCTGCACCTGGAGCCTTGTGGGTTTAGAACAGAAAAATAGGAGGGGGCAACCCAGAGGCCTCCTGATCTCCAGAAAGGGATGGGTGCTGGGCAGGTCCAGGGTGGAGGCAGAGGGAGTGAGGGGCCCTTGGGGGAACATCTGTCCTAGAGGGCTTGATCTCCAGGACTGCCCACCCCACTCCTACCCCTAATCTGGCGTTCCTCACCTGCACGCCTCCGGGAAGTCCTCACCTGAGGTCTGCAGCGGGTGTGCCAAGTGGTGGCCCCACATCACCTGCTCCCACCCCTGCCCAGAGCATGGGGCCTGCAGCTAGTGCCCTTGGGGTCGGCTTGACCCAGTCCCGGCCCAGAGCCTCTCCCATGGCCTCAGGAGGACAAGATGGTCAGGGAAGCCCAGGGGATGAGCCCTTTTGTCCACAAGCTTCCCTCTGAGATGGCCAGGCTGTTTGTGCGACCCCACAGCCCCCAACTCTCATGAACAGTGGGGATGGGGCAGGCCCCTCGCTGGTGGCCCCTAAGCAGGTACACTCTGTCTCCTTTGAGGAGAGACCCCCCAGATGGAGGGATACAGTGCTGGGTCCTGGCTGGGGTGCTCCTCCTCCCTGCCTGTGGGGGTCTCACTCTTGCCTCCTGCCCCCACCACAAACACCCCCTAGAGAGGCCTTCGGAGGCAGGTACTGAGCCCCGGGGCCGGGGGCCGGAAGGCCAGTGGCAGGTGGTCTTGGGTGACTGCTGGCCCTGGGCAGTGGTGAGGAAGACAGGCAGGCGGCTGCAGGAAGGAGCTCAGGAGAAAGGCGGCAGAGCCTAAAAAGCTGCTGGCCCCTTCAGAGGGTCCCGGATGTTGAGCTCCTGAGCCTGGGAGCTGCCTGCACGTGGTGTGTCTGTACACTGGCGCCACAGAAGGGTCGGCGGGAGGCAGGCATGGCCGGAGACCCCGCTCAGATGAGGCGGCCACGCCGGGGCAGTGCCACGCTGGACAGAAGGGGCTGCCTTGGCAGCGTGACACACCCCAGACCCTTGGGGTGGGGGCCCTGCAGGGGAGCCATGAGCAGGTGCCAGGGCTATAGGCCCCTGTATGCTCACATCCCAGCGCCCGGGGAGAGGTGTGGAGTGGGCAGGCGCACCCAACTCCCCTGTCCGGCTCCTCTGCCTTGTTGGGGCAACCCTCAGCAAGTGAGAGGCTGGTTCCAGGCACAAGAAGTGAGGCCGGGGAGGAAGCCCTACCCGTGTTCAGCCCAGTTGTGCCCCAACTCTGGTGGGCTTCCATGAGGGACAGCCTCTGGGAGGGTGGGGGTTTGTGGGCTGGAGAGCTGCCTGGCTGTGCTAAAAATACTGGGCATGCTGCAGACAGGTGCCAGTCTGGGGCACAGGCCACCCTGTCTCAGGCTGATAGCCTTGGCACCCCACCCCGCTGCGCCTGTGAGGTGGGGGCCACTGAGGCTTGGTCTTGATTCCCAGAGGTCCTGCTGGTGACCTCCCTGACATCTCTGCCCTTTGCCCATCCCCCCAAGGGCAAGGCTGGGCACAGGACACTCTGGTTCACGCATGGGGCGCCCTGCCCCTGTCTTGTTGGAAAGGTCCAGTGGCATATGGCTGGGGTCCATGCCTGCGGGTCAGGCAGGTGTGGCCGCTGGCCTGGGCTAAGCTGGCTCTGGCTGAGAGTCTGGGCGAAGAGACAGGGCGTCCCTGCTGCAGAAGGATCACTGTGGGCTAGGCTGGCTCTGGCTGAGAGTCTGGGCGCAGAGACAGAGGGCACCCCCCATGCTGCAGAAGGATCACAGTGTGGGCTCATGGCATTGACTTTTTCGCGGTCCCAAGTCTTTCATCTCGGTTGCCAGGCCCATCTCAGGGCTCGGCAGATGCGTGTCCCCTGCTAGCAAAGACCTCCAGTCAGTTCTGCGGCTGCCTGTGATGGGTCCCGCTCCGGCTCAGTGTCGGTTCTGCGGCTGCCTGTGATGGGTCCCGCTCCGGCTCAGTGTCGGTTCTGCGGCTGCCTGTGATGGGTCTCACTCCGGCTCAGTGTCGGTTCTGCGGCTGCCTGTGATGGGTCCTGCTCCGGCTCAGTGTCGGTTCTGTGGCTGCCTGTGATGGGTCCCGCTCCGGCTCAATGGAGGTGTCTGGCAGGGAGGAGGCCCCGGCTTAGCGTGATGCCAGCTGTGGCCAATTCTGGGGGGATCCTGGCAAGGAGGAGGTTGCATGTGGATCTGGTGGAGGTGGACGGCCTGGCAGGGGGTGGGGCCCGCACCCCTAAGGAGCAGTACCCCTCTCACTCGTCCCCCCGCCAGCAGACTGCTGCGTCGGCCTCCCCGGCTGTGCCATTCTGCGGGGAAGGTCCCTGTGTAGAGGAGGCTGGAGTGGGGGAGCTCAGCCCAGGCCACGCCTCACCCTTCTTGGGCGCTCCGTGGGCAAAAGCTGAGGACAGTGTGTGGATCCTGGGAGCAGGAACCCTGCAGAGCCTGCCCCCAGCTGGTGGCAGAGCAGGCAGTGGGGAGCTGCTGGGGCAGGAGGGGTGACCTCCCTCCAAGACAGCCCCGGTGGGGTCTGCAGGGATCTGGAGAGTCAAGGGTCATGGCTAGTGTGGGGCCGTGGAGCTGGGCTGGCCGGTGGAACTGTGTCCCCCTGGACATGCTCTGGGTGAGGCGTAGTCAGTGCTGGGATGGCTGGAAGTGGCCTCTGCTGGGCGGGTCCTCGGGACACGGGGGCTGCCGCTATCACAGAAGCCTGGCACAGATTCTCTCTGGTTCTTATGTTTCGTTCACTCACGCAGCCATTCAGTCAAAGCTGCAGCTGGTGGGGTCCTGGCCAAACATAGGACGCGGCAGTGCACCACCTGGGGGCTGCCCTCAGAGGCCCGCCCAGGGGAACAGTGCCACAGAGGCCCATGGGGAGGGCCTGTGGGTCACCCTGGGTGGTGGCTGGGCTCCTGGCTCCGTGGGGCCTCTGAGGGCAAGGTGGGGCCGCTCTGGCTGCCACCTGTGGAAGCTGACCATGCAGAGGCCCAGCCAGGAGGCTGCAGAAGGCCGTGGGGAGGGCAGAGCCAGCCACTTTCCCTGATGGCTGTGGAGCTGCCCACGGGACCCGTCTCCTCGTCTGGGGCTCACTGGTGCCACAGGAAAAAGCAGCCCTGGCCCAGGCCTTGGTGCACATCTTGGCAGGATCTCGCCCCAGGTGAGGGGGGCAGTGTCACCCAACAGGTGAGGCCTCTGGACAGATGAGGCCACGTGGGGTTTCCCTGAAGAAGCAGAGCCTGGCTGCTGGGTGGGGGCTCCTCGTCGTCACTGACAGGGAGAGCTGTGCTTTTAAAACATCCCCCCGTCCTGTGGAAGCCCTGGCGGTTCTGGGCAGGTTGAGGAGAGAACTGGAGAGGCCAAGCTGGCCAGGTTTGTGCCCCTGAGAATTAGAGGGAGTCCCGTGCTCACATGCAGCTGGGGCACGGTGAGGAGCCCAGCCCTGCAGGCGAGCCCTTGCGCTGGACTCAGTCTCTGGAGTGGGGCTAGGCTCCTCACTGGGCCTTGCCCGGGGCACAACCTGTGGGACTCAGGCCCCTGAGCCAGAGCAGGAGTCGGGGGCTTTGCTGTGGCCCCTCCTCACTGCCCATCCTGCAGCCTCCCCTGGGCCAGGGTGTCTCCTGAACTGGCCTGAGATGCAAAGTGCTGGGCTGCAGTGCAGCCTAGGTGGAAGGCTGACATGTGAGGCCCAGGCTGGCCTGTGTCCTGGAGTTGGCAGGGCCCCCTTCCATCCTCAGCCACATCCACCCAGCCTCAGGGGTCCCTCCAGCCTCCTGGGACTGCCGTGTCCCCCACCTCTGCTTCAGGCAGTGCTCCTGGGCTGCCTCCTTCCCCGGCCATGGGGTCCTAGTGGTTTAATGAGAAGTGAGTAGGGGCCCTCCCCTCCCCCAGACAGGGTCTTGCTTTGCCCGCCAGGCTGGAGTGCAGTGATGCGATCACAGCCAGCTGTAGCCTGTACCTTCTGATTTGCCCTCTTAACGTTCACATCCATTCTTGTTAACGAGACTGTGCTGAAGCCCAGCACGGTGGAGAGGGCAGCCCACGGTGACTCACATCTGCAGAGTGAGCTCTCGGGGGTCAGCACCCAGATTTGGGATTAGCAGTCCTGGGTCTCGAGCCCTGTGGCTGGCTCCATCCCTGCTTCCAGCAGCCTGGAATTTGCACCTCTGTGTAAACGGAGCCGCCTGGCATGGCATTTGCACTTGGCTACTTCCCTCCATCTGCTGGTGACCTCTGGCCCGTGCTCTTTGTGGTGAGTGGGTCCCTGCTTGGTTGGGACTCAACCCCACTTCAGGACCCCGTGGCCACTGAGGACCCAGGGACCTGCCTGTGCTCAAGTGTCTGGCCTCTGTTGTGGGTGCGTGGCGTGGCCAGGGCCACTTTTCCAGAGAAGGCTCCGGGGTGCTGTCTGGCCTCGCTGCACTGTCCCTGACGTGCAGGGTCCAAAGCTGGCATCCCCCAGGAGCAGTGTCTGGGGACAGAGATGCCTCCTGGTCCTTGCTGGCCAATGTCTGCTGGTCTTGTATGGTGCCTGCGTCGTGTTTGCCATTTTTCTGTTGCGTTGTCTGACGTTTTCATGTGGATCGCAGGAGTTCCTCACCCTGTGTGTGTGTGGACACAAGTCCTCTGAGGGACGCATGTCACGGTGTCTGCTCACATGCCGCTGCCCGTCCAACCATGTGAGTGTCTTAGGGGACGGCAGCTCTTTCTTTAGTGAACTCCAGCGTCCAGCTCATTGGCTGCGGGAGGAGATGGCAGTTTTCTTCCTAGAACCTTACTTGTGAACCTTTCACGAAGCCCCCTGGGCCCAGACCACCCTGCTGGTCCCGCGCCAGGCTGGCATGGCACCCACCTTCCCCACCAGCCTCGCTGGTGCCAGACTGTGGGCCTCCTTGCTGCCTCCTCGGGCCCTAGGGCTTGAACCAGCCCACCTGCCCCTTTGGGCCTCTCCTCTGCTCTCCCGTGGAGCCTGCTCTGACCGGGAGTGTCCCGTGGTGGCCTGAGAATACCCTCTGCCCACAGGTCCCGAGCAGCCCGGCCCACCATGGACCCCTCTGCCCACAGGTCCCGAGCAGCCCGGCCCACCATGGACCCCTCTGCCCACAGGTCCCGAGCAGCCCCGCCCAACATGGACCCAGACCCCCAGGCGGGCGTGCAGGTGGGCATGCGGGTGGTGCGCGGCGTGGACTGGAAGTGGGGCCAGCAGGACGGCGGCGAGGGCGGCGTGGGCACGGTGGTGGAGCTTGGCCGCCACGGCAGCCCCTCGACACCCGACCGCACGGTGGTCGTGCAGTGGGACCAGGGCACACGCACCAACTACCGCGCCGGCTACCAGGGCGCGCACGACCTGCTGCTCTACGACAACGCCCAGATTGGTGCGCCAAGGGCAGGCGGGACGGGCAGGACCCGGGGGCGGGAACGCCCCCTCTGACCCCACCCCACCCCCAGGCGTCCGGCACCCCAACATCATCTGTGACTGCTGCAAGAAGCACGGGCTGCGGGGGATGCGCTGGAAGTGCCGCGTGTGCCTGGACTACGACCTCTGCACGCAGTGCTACATGCACAACAAGCACGAGCTTGCCCACGCCTTCGACCGCTACGAGACAGCCCACTCACGCCCGTGAGTCCTGGGCCGCACCAGCTCCTGTGCGGCGGATACCCAGGCCTTGCCATGGGGGCCTCAGCCTTCGGGGAGGCTCCCAACCACTCCCAGGGAGATGGAGCAAGTCTCTCCAGGGCAATGGCCTTAAGCGGTGTTGCCATGGGCGGGGCACAGAGGGTGGCCTCTGGGTGGCTCTACAGGCAGCAGTGGCCATCAGGCAGCCAGCATCCCCCAGGGAGGCATGAGACCTCTGCGAGGACTGTCCACACCTGGAGCCAGCCCCTGGGCTGCCTTGGGGGCTGCTGTGCTCTGGTCCGAGGGCATCAGCTGGGGGAGAATCTAGCCTGCTTGGGGCAAAGGCAGCCAGAGATGCCACCCCGTCTCCTGCATGTCACCCTTGTCTCTGGCCCTCCCTGCATGTGGAGGGAGCTGTGGGCGACTGGGGAGTGCTGTTGGCCTCATTCCTCCCTTACCACATGCTGAGCCCACCTCTGGGCCTGGCTGTGCCCCAGCTCACCGGGAGGCAGCAGGCATAAAGCGACCACACCCAGAGGTCTTGCCAAGGGTGGGTGGGCCTGGGTGCCTTCCCAGCCTGGCATCAGGGAAGTCCCTGGAGGAACATGGTCCGCAGGTTCGCTCCAGGCCCCTGAGCCCGGGGGCATTTCCTCGCAGTGTGTGGAGGATGCTGACCTGCTGGGCCGGCCATTCCCAGGCTCTCCCGAGTGGTTCAGGACGGGAAGAGATGGCAGTTTTCTTCCGAGAGCTTTATTTGTGAACCCTCTTGCAGTGTCATGCTGAGTCCCCGCCAGGGCCTCCTGAGGATCCCACTAAGGGGCATCTTCCAGGGCGCGAAGGTGGTGCGAGGCCCCGACTGGGAGTGGGGCTCACAGGATGGTGAGTGGAGGCAGACGGGCAGAGGGCAGGGCCCGGCTGTGGCTGGCTCATGGCTCAGTCTCAAGGCACAGCCTTAGCCTGCTGGCGGGGACTCTTTCCCCAGGAGGGGAAGGGAAACCAGGCCGTGTGGTGGACATCCGTGGCTGGGATGTGGAGACAGGCCGGAGTGTGGCCAGCGTGACGTGGGCTGATGGTACCACGAACGTGTACCGTGTGGGCCACAAGGGCAAGGTGGACCTCAAGTGTGTGGGCGAGGCGGCGGGCGGCTTCTACTACAAGGACCACCTCCCAAGGCTTGGTATGAGGCTGCCCCACTGACCCCATCAGCCCTTCTACCCTGGCTGAAGTCCCAGAGGGGAGGGACTGCTGCCTGAGGCCTGCCACCCTCCCCCAGGCAAGCCGGCCGAGCTGCAGCGCAGGGTGAGTGCTGACGGTCAACCCTTCCAGCACGGGGACAAGGTCAAATGTCTGCTGGACACTGACATCCTGCGGGAGATGCAGGAAGGCCACGGCGGCTGGAACCCCAGGATGGCGGAGGTGAGCCGCCCCACCGTGGAGCCCTGTGTGCCCTGCCCTCCCAGCCCTGCAGACCCCCAGCCCCTTCTTCCCCAAGCGTCCAGCCCGACCCAGCCACAGCTCCATGACCCGCCACAGTTTATCGGACAGACGGGCACGGTGCATCGCATCACGGACCGCGGGGACGTGCGCGTGCAGTTCAACCACGAGACGCGCTGGACCTTCCACCCCGGGGCGCTCACCAAGGTGCCTGGGGGGCTGGGCTGCACCCCATCTGTTTGCTTCTGTAACCCCTTCCATGTATCCACTCGGCCTCGGGGGGTCAGGCAGGACTAGGGTGCCAGCTGTACCCACGAGTCCCCAGCCCTGAAGGAAGGGTAGGGACTGGTGGGTGGGGTCAAGGAGAAGAGGGGGTTGGGTGTGAAGGAACCCAGAGGAGGGTATGTCTCTGGGAGCTGGCGTGGCTGATATGGGCAGGTTAGGGCCTCCCTCGGTTCCAGGACACCAGGAAGGCAGGACAGCTTCGTGGGCGGGAGGGAGGCAGCTGGGCTAAGATGCTCCTGGTTAGTGCTGTATGGGGGCCGGTGGGGGTGGCTGGTTAGGACAGGGAGGTGCACGTTTGGCCTAGGGTGGCGGTCCCCACCACCCTAGTGGTGTGGGAGGTAGTGAGGGCTGCCTGGGAAGCAGGATGGCAGGGAAGGGGCTGGAGGTGGTGGCGGTGGCAGCTTGGATGGCCCTGGGCGGGGCAGGCCCAGGACAAAGCGTCAGAGCTCAAATCTGGATCTGGGGTCCTGGATACCAGGCACCTTTGAGGAAGCGCCAAGGGGAGTCATGAGATGGGCTTGTAGAGTGAGTTCCCTGCATATGAGGGCTCAGGGGGGGCAGAGTGGGCCCGCCCTGCACCCCAATGTCCTGGGGCCCCACCCCCACACTGGCTCACGGGGCCCTGGCCATGCTGCCTGCTGCTGGTCAGTGTATAGCTCCCCACGGCCGGCCACCTCGGCTTCACACCTGCCCAGAGCTGGCTTCTATCTGCCTGGACACTCCTCCCATGGCTCTGGGGCTGGGGACACCCAGGGCTGCTTTGGACACCTGGGGCTCTCGTCCAGCCAGAGCCTCTGGCAGTGCTTGGGGTCGGGCCAGGGCCGAGTCAGGCCTGCCTGTCTTGTGGAGCTCAGCGGGTTGCCCTCCTGTGCTCCATGAGCCTGGGCAGCCACACACAGCTGGGGGGCCCCTCACGCCCCTCTCTGTTGCTCAGCACCACTCCTTCTGGGTGGGCGACGTGGTCCGGGTCATCGGCGACCTTGACACGGTGAAGCGGCTGCAGGCTGGGCATGGCGAATGGACGGACGACATGGCCCCTGTGAGTCCCCTTGCCGCCCCCGCCGCTAGGGCCGCTGCCCCCCACACCTGCAGCCTGCTGTGACCCCCTCCCCTCCCCGCAGGCCCTGGGCCGCGTCGGGAAAGTGGTGAAAGTGTTTGGAGACGGGAACCTGCGTGTAGCAGTCGCTGGTCAGCGATGGACCTTCAGCCCCTCCTGCCTGGTGGCCTACCGGCCCGAGGAGGATGCCAACCTGGACGTGGCTGAGCGCGCCCGGGAGAACAAAAGTGCGGCACAGCTCAGGCGGCCGTGGGCGGTGGGGCTGCCCCTGGCCACTGCTAACCTCAGCCCTGCCCCCCAGGCTCACTGAGCGTGGCCCTGGACAAGCTTCGGGCCCAGAAGAGTGACCCGGAGCACCCGGGAAGGCTGGTGGTGGAGGTGGCTCTGGGTAACATGGCCCGGGCTCTGGACCTGCTGCGGAGGCGTCCAGAGCAGGCGAGCTCCCGCCCCCGTCCTCCCACACCGTCCAGTCTGAGGGTGAGGGGCAGAAGGCCAGGGACTCACTGCTGGCTCTCCTGGCAGGTGGACACCAAGAACCAAGGCAGGACCGCTCTGCAAGTGGCTGCCTACCTGGGTCAGGTGGACTTGGTACGGCTGCTGCTACAAGCCAGGGCGGGCGTGGACCTGCCGGACGATGAGGGCAACACGGCGCTGCACTACGCGGCCCTGGGGTGAGGTCTGGGAGGGGCCCGGAAGGGGCCTGGCAGGGCTGAGCCTGTGTGTCCAGCCAGTGGGCACGGCGCCCTCCCTCTCACGTCCTCTCCCGTCAGGAACCAGCCTGAGGTCGGCAGGGTGCTCCTGAATGCTGGGTGCCGGGCAGATGCCATCAACAGCACCCAGAGCACAGCGCTGCACGTGGCCGTGCAGAGGGGCTTCCTGGAGGTGGTGCGGGCCCTGTGTGAGCATGGCTGTGACGTCAACCTGCCTGTGAGTTCTGCTTCCACCTGGCCTGGGTGCCGCCTGCCCGTGAGCGCTGCTCCCTGGGTGCCCCCTGCCCGTGAGCGCTGCTCCCTGGGTGCCCCCT